AGCTCAACCCTGTCGGTGCCAAGTGCCCTGGTTCATGCCTCTTCTTCACTCGTTGGGATATTTTGTAGCCTCCTAATTTCTTTACCTCCCTTTTACGCATTCTACACATAACCGCCTCCATTTGCTTTTATAAAATCCAGGTGTCATCACATCACTCCCCTGTGCAAAATCCACAGGGCTGCTCTTGGGCTGAAGAGTCCGGTTGAGGTTTTCCGCCCAGTTCCCACTTTCTCCACGTTGCCTTCTTTAGCTCCCCGCAGCCTGCCACCATCACTTCTGGCCTCCAACTTTCGTGCAGAAGGCCCACTTCTCCGGGGATACCCCCCTCAGCCGACCCTCCCTTTCTTCCGCAAATATTTCTTAAGTGCCCAGAGCAGGCTGGTGCTAACCTCTGGGTCTGCAGCCCCGGTAAACAAGCTAGACACAGCTCCTGCCCTCAGACAGTTTCAATTATATTTGGGAAATTTACATTTGCGAACACCATGATAGACTTCAGAGATACTGGCAGAAAATTTTTTCCAAAGTTTAGTATACTCTAAAGGTCTTTAACACTGGAGAATTTTATTTTTAAACTTGAAACAAGAACATCAAAAGTTTAAAACGTTAGCTTTTTTTTTGCGGTACGTGGGCCTCTCCCCATTGTGGCCTCTCCCGTTGCGGAGCACAGGCTCTGGACACGCAGGCTCAGCGGCCATGGCTCACGGGCCCAGCCACTCCGCGGCATGTGGGATCCTCCCGGACCGGGGCACGGACCCACGTCCCCTGCATCGGCAGGCGGACTCTCAACCACTGCGCCACCAGGGAAGCCCTAAAATGTTAGCTTTTAAAATTAATTATTTTAAAATTAGAATCCTCTGTTACCAATACAAAGAAGAAAATGCATCAAATGTGAATAACAAGCGATTCTAATTCGGAAGATGCGGCAGGGGAAAAGCAAACCTAATATCCTCCACAAAGAACCAGAGGGCTCAGTTTCTATTATATGGTGTATTTAGCTTAAACTGCATCATCGCCATCCTGTATAACTTTTTGGTTTCTGGTGGGCAATCCTTCCTGCAGCTCAGAAACTTCAACCGAAGCCTCTAGTTGACTTCCCAGGCCTGTCATAAGAGGTTCTGATACTATGAGAGACTGGAAAGAGGGATGCAGGTTTTCTTTTTTTTTTTTTGCGGTACGCGGGCCTCTCACCGCTGTGGCCTCTCCCGCTGTGGAGCACAGGCTCCGGACGCGCAGGCTCAGCAGCCCTGGCTCACAGGCCCAGCCGCTCCGCAGCCATGTGGGATCCTCCCAGACCGGGGCACGAACCTGTGTCCCCTGCAACAGCAGGCGGACTCCCAACCACTGCGCCACCAGGGAAGCCCAGGATGCAGGTTTTCTTGAAGAACATTAAAAATCAAGATGCCTGGGTTTCTGTAAATCTCATTAGCATCTAATACAGAATCTGTCATGTAATCGTTAAAAAAAAAAATTCCTTCAGCCTTTCTTCTCTTCTGTATTCCCTATAATGTCTATCACAGAGCCTTACACACAGTAGGTGCAAATAAACACACACTGAGTTGATAATCGTGCGTGAAATCATCCACCTATGGGGAGCGGAGCTTAAAGTGGCAGAGGAGATGGAAGAATAGAACTGTAGCAACTGTAAGAGCGAGGCCTCTGGGGGAGCATTCATCTTGAAAGACGTCGTAAAAGAACGGTCATGGGGAGTCACATTGTCCCAACAATGATCAGAACACAGTTCACCTCTGTGCATATTACAAACCAATGAAGTGATTTTAAGAAGCACTAATAAGTTGGGAGAAAATTTTGAATCTGAAAGCACTGAGCATACAGGCATACACATATGCACACAGGTTTACATATGTATGTTCAGTGACACTGTTGTTAATAATGAGTATTCTAGAACTGTTGCTTGAATTTTAACAGCAAGAAAAAGAAGTTGTTTTTAAAAGACATTTTCAAGAAATCAAAACCAGAGGAAAGATACAAATGTTTATGGAGACAGCAGGGATGTTTCTCAGTTCCTTTCAAGAAGTTTAAGTTGGCTGAGGGAGGTCAATTAAGTTGGCTAATTACTATGTTCTACTTTGATCAGATGGATCGATACTGACTTTTTTTCAGGTGCAGCAAAACTGCATTCACACATGCAAGGCAGGTGGCGAACATTTATCCATTTGATATAACATGAAGGTTTGAATACTAAATGAACCGCACGGGGGAACTCCTTTTCTAAAAGTCATTTGTCCAATAAGCAAGCGCTTCGGAAAATTAAACAGAGCAAGGCAAGGGGAACAGTGAGGGGCCTGGGCCCCTTGAGCAATCCAGTGCCTCCAAAGAGGACGAGACGCCGGGTCATTGATCCCACTTTTTAAATCAGATTGAGAAAGAGAGTTCAGTTTGGCACTACGTGTCAACTGATACCTGTTACCTGTTCTGGCCACAGTGAATGAAGTGTCCGGGCAGTGGTGAGCCGAAGAGCCGAGACCACAGCCCCGCCGGCCCCCGCAAGCGCGCAGCACTCCGCCTCCCTGGCTTGCGGTGCGCAGGCACCCAGACGCACCAAGCCAGAGCCACTATTGGCACAACTTCCTCCGTTTTCCAAACCAAGTAGCCAACAAGGTGGGCTAAGCCCCATGTGTACGATCTTATCTTCAGTTTAAACTCAGGGGCCCTGCCCCAACTGAAAAATTTTTAAGAGGTACAAACATTGGGAAAGGAACATAGAAATGGCGCCAGTACAATCGACCCTCCGTATCCACAGATTCCGCATCCGCAGATTCTGCATCCGCCGATTCCAACTGCAATTTGATCTGCATTTGGTGGAATCTGTGGGTGCAGAGGGACTGTGTATGTCTGGTTTACTAAAGTTATTGTAAACACCCACTTTTTTATTTTTAAATAGAAATACAGTTGCCAAAGAGAAAGCAGCAATCTAAATGCCAAAAGCACCAGGCATGGCTGAGGGAAGGAGTGGTGTTCAAATGATTAATTACACTCACAACGGTTCTCCCTTGTACTGGTCTCTCACGCCAAAAGCCTAACAGACTTGCCAATTAGTTCCGTGTGAATCATCCTCCACTCGCCTAATTTGCCTTCAAAGTTTGCATCAGCAATTCGCACTTACTTAAAATATCAACTTACATGGTTTTGTTTTTAGGGGGAAAAAAGAAGGGAAACCCCGTTCCTGTCTTAGTATTTCAGCAACTAAGGATCTAATAGATCCATTTGGGATCTCATTTAACAGGGCTGGTTCTCAAGAAATATAAGGACTTCACTGTGGTAATGAATTGAGAAATTTAACAAGATCCTGTAGCACAGGCCCTGAAAGTCAGTTTCTGTGAAACTCCAGTATAGCTATTTTATTTTTAAAAATTAAAATAAAAAAAAAAGGAGGGGCAAAAAGGAAGATACACACTTGAATGTAGCAGCAGAGTCAGAGGAGATTTTCTTAGGATGTCAAAGTTATCAGCTGTTCATTCTTTTCAAAGCATACTATTTTCACGTGGCCTCTTGAAATGTAATAACAGTTCTTACATAATGTAGAATTATTCATTTTTATTTTATACAAGACTTTTTTTACAATTCCAAAATTTATTCTTTAAAGGTGACTTGGCTTTTGCAGCAGTACATTCAAGTCCAAGTGTGATCGAAGTTCTTTCTCTCTTACACATGAAGCCCACACCTGAACACCGGCTCCATCGCAGTTTTTAAAAGCAAGCCAAGCGTTCACATCCTCCCCGCCCACTTCCCCTCAGCCCTCTCCGGGGTGCACCCGAGCCTCTGCTCAGAGCCTGGACCTCCGTGGAAACCTCGGCCAGGTCCACAGAGAAGGGAACGTCACCGGCAGCCTGGCCAGCGTTGCTTTTTCAAAACATGGCAGCTTCAAGGCTTCTCATGCCTGAGTGAGCCTGTGAGAGATTCTTGGAAACTTTCAACAATGGGGCAGGGCAGGGAGGCCCACAGATCTATAAGAAAGCATGCTAGCTAAGCTTGATTTGCCTTAGGGGCCTGTTCTTTAAGGGAAAGTACAGGGTGAGCTGTGCCAGTATTCACCTTGTCAGGTCACCTGGGGCAGCAATAGGACATGTAATGCAGGATAAAAGGATTTCTGGTTTGGGGCAAACGAGAGAAAGTGTTTACCACATTTAAAATAAGTCAGTACTCTTACAGTAAAATGAACGGCCTGCCATAAAAGACCAGAAAGCAGCCCTTGTATCTCCTGACTTAGATTTCTGCTCTTAAAAAAATCCTTGGCTTTTACGAATCTGGCCCACTCTGTGAAAATCAGGTAACTGATGCCTGGTCCGTTCTCAGGAGAAATGACCAGGGATCAGCAGATCTGACAGCGATTTTAAAAGTTGAAATTGAGAACTGGGCAAACATGGGGAGAAAAGCAACAGCGCACATCTTTACATGGTGGTTCCCAAGAGCAGGAGACGGTGCTGCACAGAAGTGTCCCTGGGACTGGCGGGCTCCTGATGGTGACAGCAGTGCTGCAGTCACTAGACCGCTGGGCACTGCAGGGTTCTAAGGGGGTCTCTGACAAAATACTGCGGGGAGGGCCAGGGTGGGCCAATTCGGCAAATCAGCAAGAACGAAAACAAATTTCTAAGAATCCTAAGTGGCCTCTGCAAATAAAGGAAATGTGAATTCAACACACATACACAACCCTAAGGGCTGCCAACCCGTTTGAGGGCAGAAAATCAAAAGGAGGCTCTGCGGGCAGAATACTTTCATCTGTAAGTGAGAATATTATATAAAACTCACAGGCTTGCTCCCTTCCCAAAGAATAATTTCTTCTGTGGACTACTGAAATCATATCGTATAGTGGTCCCTAACTGAAAGGACCCTTTATTTCAGAAAGAACACTGAAAAATTCTCATACAAAATGAAAATTACTATTATCTAATTACTTGTCATGACAAAAGTGTGAATCCCATTCTACAGCGCAAAAGGCACGATGAAACCCATGTGAAACGAATGTTACGAAAGCAACTCACCTGGAAATCCTGATCATCGATTCCAAACCTCTCCCGCAGGTTACGGAAAACCATCGGGCAGTATTCCTTAAACTTGAAGTGGCTCGGCATGTTTTCTCTGAAACAGGTTGTGGAATAAAGTTCAGACGTACAAACAGTGAACCAGACTTGAATCTGCCTCCATCATGCTCTCCTGCAGCCAAAGAAGCACTTGGGGTTCCCGACCCACAGAAGGCACAGGTGGGTTTCAAGGGGCCAACCAGAACCCACAGTAGGATCCGGGGGACAGAAGGGACAGACACGCAGGGGAAACGGTGAAGGAAAAGCCAAGAGCTTGGCGAGGCCGGGAGGGGCAGCACAGAGAGCCACAAACAGTGCTCCCACACTGGTCCTGGGTTGCCTGCTGATGAAAGCTTACAAAACAAGACTGACTCTCACTCCTAGATCGACCTGTTTTATCTTTTATATAAATACCACATTCTATATTCACATAGAAAAGATCCCCTCAAAAGGTCAACCTTTAAAGGGCATTATGAGAATAATTAACACATCAGCTTCACATTAGAACAATGGCCCCATTAAGGAATTTCACAATTGATCTTCACATGGGAGGGATTTCTCTGGGGCTCATCCCACTCATTCAGAATTGCTTCCTTCCCCCTTTGTGTTCACACGCGCGCACACACACACACACCCCGTGCCCCCACTGTGGTACTCCACACACTAATTTGTATATGTGTCCATTTTCAACCAACCACCTGACTGTGAACCCCCGAGGGCAGGACTGTTTCTTATACATCGGTGTATGTCTGGCTCTCAATGAACTGCCTGCCACAGAAGGTGGTCCATAATGATGTCTAAAATGACATTCAAAAGAGGGAGAAATAGTCTCAATGCCCAACATGGCATCCAATTATGTTTTATAAAAATGCACCTTCATTCTTTATTGTTTTAGGAAGTAGTCATTTCTGTTCATAAAGGAATCATCAGGAGAGTTTTGTGTAAGAGAGCTGAGGTCCATAGCTGCCAAAAAAAAAAAAGAATCCAAGCAATTTACAGCTTCAAACATTTAAATAGTAATGAGAATATCACTTTTAACATATAAGATATTCATAGAGAACAATATGCCATATGCAAAAAGATATTACCCAAGAGGGCCTGCTGTTGCTTTTCTGAAAAAGACAGATGGTTATGTTTATCACAGGATAAACTTTATCAGCAAAACTTCACTCTCACCCATTGAAAAATAATGTGATTATAGAAATTCACAAAAATTGAAATTCGAATTCACACTCCTGGCAGCCATGTAAGTTCGACAAAAGGTTGTTCTTGTACTCACTTGTTAAAAAGGTGATTGTCCACCTTTATCTTTGAATAGGCCTTGAAGTCATCTGGCATCAGCATAACAGGGATTTGAACATGGCTCAGTTCATTGATCTAGAAAAATATAAAATAAATGGCACAGGTTGTAAGTATCTAGGTGGGAAGTGCTTGACTTAAACATGTAATTTACCAAGAAAACCTCGTGGATGCTTGTACTTCCTGGCCCACATTCCTCCCTGTTCCTGCCCCCGAATCATCTCTTCTGCCGCCTTCCCCACTCTTTTCATCAGCCGTCACCACTGCCCCCAAGCACACATGGGCTGCAACTCCCCGGCTCAGCCCTGTCTGCCGCTGGCCCCCCGGATGGCAGGGGCAAGAGTGGGGTTCTGGAGGGTGAACCCTCAGGGCCAGCTGTCCCTGCTTCTCCCCGTCCACCCTCCCACTGCCCCTCCAGAGCCTTGACCCAGAGCTCCTTTGATCCCATGTCCAGGTCAACTTCCCTCTGTAAAGAAAATATTCTCTGAGAAAGAGGGCTTTTTAATTTCTGATATAAATATTTGTTGAATTAATCAATAAGACTAGTTCTTTACACTTTGGGGTACTAAAAATTCATGTGGTCTTTACTTTTCTTGTGGGAATGAATTGAAAAATAAGTATTGGGGTAGGGCATGAATTTACCAGAAGAGGAACCCTCATGAAGGAAAGGAAGGAAGCATATGGCCCTGCGATTGGATGAGAGAGAGATGGGTTGGCCAGGGGTCAAGACAAAGGCACACCTTTATGTGGTCACAGAGAACAAAAGGTTAAATCCATTTCGGTTTACATTCCAGTGAATGGCAGGGACAGGGATGGCTTTTGACACCTGACTTTGAAAAAGTTGAACCTTCTCTTGGTTAATTATTTTTGCATTTAGCTCCCAAGTGATAACTCCCTGGTTGCTAGTAATAAAAACCACTTTAAAGGTTTATACTTCCAGTAAATGTGAGATACTTGGAAGGGTTCTCAGTTACAAAAGCAAACAAAATGAGTTTCTTGATAGAGCAGAGTTGTTAACCCACTGCTGGGATCACAGAAAGCAGAAGGAAATTTTCAAGACCTTCCTTCCCCTAAAGTGAGTTTAATCATCCATAGGGCATGTGGTGACCATCAGGTAAGTGTGAAAGGAGGGGTTTCTCTGAAGATACATGCCAATTTCACACTTTGGGTCAAAGCATAACTGCGGAGCTCAACCCAAGACTTCAACACTAAACTAGGACCCCTGAAGGAAGTGAAAGTGGTCCCCAAACCCAGCGGAAGTAAATGTAAAGGGTGCCTGGAAGAAAACACCCTTAACACAGACCTCCAGGATTCCCACAGATTAAGTTCAACCAAATATGAGCTCACAAAGACAACAAGAGTGGGAGTCAACAGAAACAAAAACTGATGTTATTTTCAAGGCTTCAGCTGGTAGGACAATCAGATACAGAACAGAAGGTAAAAACTATGAATAAAACATATGAAGAGAGTAAGAGATGGACTAGCAAAAATGAGTAAACTATGAGACTTTCAAAATGACCAATCAGACTTGAAAAAGAATCAAATAAAAATTTTACAAAATGGAAACTATAACTGTTGACTTGAAAACAAAACAACAAGCCTCTGACCTAGTATTTACACAGCAGATTGGATAACTGGTATACCAGAGGGTAGATCTGAGAAAACTACCTAGAATACCACAGACAGAAAGAATGGAAACGTAATATATGAGAGAATGGTTAAGATGGGGAGTGAAGTGGGTTTAAATGGAATCTTAGAGGAAGACAGTAATACAGAATATGGGGAAGAGATAATATTTGAAGATGTAATGGTTGAGAATTTTTCATGACTGTGAGAGTTATAAATCTGTAGATGCATAATACCTAATGTACACAGAAGAAATCCACACCTAGAGACACTGCAGCTAAACTAAAGGATACCAAAAACCAAGAGAAGAAAAGTGGTCAGAGAGAAAAGACAGAACACAACAAAGAAATGACTATCAGACTGACAGCTTACTTCCCAACAGCAAAACTGGAAGCCCACAGACAGCAGAATGATATCCTCAGAGTGGAAGATTACTGTCAACATAAAATTGTATACTGTGGTATAATAAGAAATATATTTTGATCATTGTCTGGGTTCCTGGCACAATCTCCTAAAACCCTTGCAACTTCCTAAGTGACAGGAGTATCTTTTTTTTTTTTAATTAATTAATTTATTTTTGGCTGTGTTGGGTCTTCGTTTCTGTGCGAGGGCTTTCTCCAGTTGCGGTGAGCAGAGGCCACTCTTCATCACGGTGCACGGGCCTTCATCACTGTCACAGCCTCTCCCGTTGTGGAGCACAGGCTCCAGACGCGCAGGCTCAGTAGTTGTGGCGCTCGGGCTTAGTTGCTCCGCAGCATGTGGGATCTTCCCAGACCAGGGCTCGAACCCGTGTCCCCTGCATTGGCAGGCAGATTCTTAACCACTGCGCCACCAGGGAAGCCCCAGGAGTATCTTTTGTCGTTCACCAGAAGCCCTTTCGGGGCATACCTGAATTCATGCTAATGAGGTGACTTAGGTTTAGACCCCTAGATGGCCTCAGGATGGGGCTGGTCACCAGAAAGACCAAGTGACTGGACAGTTGGAACTTTCAGCCCTACCCACTGACCTCAGAGAAGGGGAAGGGGAGATGCTGGAGATGAAGTTCTATGTAAACTTTTGAACAATAAGAGTTGGAGAGCTTCTGGGTTGGTGAACACATCCATATGCCAGGAGGGTGGTGCACCCCAGTTCCATGGGGACAGAAGCTCCTGCACTCGGGACCTATGTACCTCTGCATTGGTATCCTTTATAATATCTTTTATAATAAACTGGTAAAACATATATAAATGTTTTTCAGAGTTCTGTGAGCTGCTTAGCAAAATAATGAAACTGGAGGAGGGGGCTGTGGGAACCTCTGATTTACAGCCAGTTGGTCAGAAGCACAAGTAACAACCTGGACTTGTGAGTGGTAACTGAAGTCGAGGAAGGGGCAGTCTTGTGGGACTGGGCTAATAACCTGTGGGGTCTGATTCGATCTCCAGGAAGACAGTGTCAGAACAGACTTACTGCTTCAGGATATTGGAAAAAAACACGTGGGACAAACCCATTAAAACTATCTTTCAATATATTGGAAGACTGGGATTGACATACACACTACTATATATAAAATAGATAACTAGAGGCTACCCTGGTGGCGCTGTGGTTGAGAGCCCGCCGGCCAATGCAGGGGACACAGGTTTGTGCCCCGCTCTGGGAAGATCCCACATGCCGCGGAGCGGCTGGGACCGTGAGCCATGGGCGCTGAGCCTGCACGTCCGGAGCCTGTGCTCCGCAACGGGAGAGGCCACAACAGTGAGAGGCCCGCGTACCACAAAAACAAACAAACAAACAAATAAAAATTAGATAACTAATAAGGACGTACTGTATTGCACAGGGAACTCTACTCAGTACTCTGTAATGGCCTATATGGGGAAAGAATCTTAAAAAGAGCAGATGTATGTATATGTATAACAGATTCACTTTGCTGTACACCTGAAACTAACATAACATTGTAAATCAACTATATTCCAATAAAAATTTTTTTAAAAAACTATGTTTCAAAAAAATGAGAGCAAAATAAAGGCTTTTAACTGAGAACTTATCTACAACACACCTCCCTAGAGGAACTTCCAAGCTTTAGAAGCACATTATTTATACTCTATTAAAGATATACTTCAGAAAGAAGGTAAACATTGTGGCGGGAAGGTCTGAGATAACAAAAAGAATTCGTAAGTAAATAAACTGGTAAATATGAGGACAAATATAAGTAAACATCATCTATATAAAGTAATAATGCCAAATTTATGAGATTAAAAAGGACAGAAATACACACTGAATAGCAACAGGGTATAAGTTGGAAAGTAGATGGCCACGGTTATAATGCTCATGGTATTGTTCAGGAGGAGCGGTAAGATACTAACTGCAGACTTTTAAGTATTATGCTACAATTTCAAGGGCAAACATTAAAAGAATAAGAAACACAGTAGATAACTTCCAAACTAGTAGAAGGGGAAAAACAGAATAAGAAAACAAAACTCAATTTAAAAAAAAAGAAACGTGGGGCTTCCCTAGTGGCGCAGTGGTTAAGAATCCACCTGCCAGTGCAGGGGACACAGGTTCAAGCCCTGGTCCAGGAAGATCCCACATGCCGTGGAGCAACTCAGCCCGTTTGCCACAATTACTGAGCCCATGTGCCACAACTACTAAAGCCTGCGCACCTAGAGCCCACGCTCCACAACAAGAGAAGCCGCTGCAGTGAGAGGCGCGCACACCGCAACAGAGAGTAGCCCCCGCTCGCTGCAACTAGAAACACAGCCAAAAATAAATAATAAATAAATAAATAAATTTTTAAAATAAAAAAAGAAATGCAAGCAAGAGAAAAAAAATTTGCACAACAAAAGTGGGACAAATAGAAAGTTAGTGATATAAATAAATCTGGATATATACATAATCACAATAGGCATAAATAGGCTAGCAGTTAAACATAAAGACTGTCATAATTAAAAGCTATAAGCTATGTGCATGAGACACACCTAAAACATAAGAACTCATACATCAAAAGCTAAGGGACAGAAAAAATATATTAAATAGTACTAAAAATTACTGAAAAGCTAGCCTACTTTTATTAGTATCAAATAAACTAATAACTTTAAGGCAAAAGCATTACTAAGGATAAAGAAGGTCTGTGCACAATGATAAAAGGTTCAATTAGCCAGGAATATAGGATTCATATTTTATAAGCACCTAATTAGCCTGAAAGTATAGAGCAAAAATTGTTAGGACCTCAGGGAAAACGGGCGATCCATCATTATAGAGGAACATTTGAATGTGCTTTTATTGACAGTCTAAACAGACACAAAATTAAGAAAGATACAGATTTTTAAACAACATATTGAAGTCAATATGTTGCATAACTATTATATTATGGCCAAGTATTCTTCCAGATGATTGGGATACATTGTGGAACAAAACAGATTAAGATGCCTGCCCTCTGGAGCTTCTGTTTTAGTGGGAAGACCCAGAAGATAAAACAA